CACTCTCCCCCCCCCCCCTCTCTCTCTCTCTCTACTCCTTAAGTCTCTCTACCTCTCATTAGTGTTTCTCTCTCTCCACCCAAGTAAAAACAAGTTTACTTGTACTACAGTTTACGTGATTACGTGATCTCTCTCCTCACATTCAAATTGAATTAAAAAAATATATATTTATTTGATTAGCAATTTATTTGTTAAGTGTTTGTATTGATATTATTAATTTAATGCAATTATTTACTTTTTATTATGAAGGTTAAAAATAATAGATGATTTGGGAGGCAGATAAATCGTCAATCAAAGTTTATACAATTTCTATTTTTCAAGTTCTATTGTTTCATTCTTATCGACTTTTATAATATATTAAATTGTTCTCTTAATATAGTTAATTATTATTTTAAATTTTATTGTGTTCACAATAGTTTTTACTTTAAAATATGTCAAGTAGAAAATATGAATTTGGATACGAAAAACAAAAAACGAAAAACGAAAAAAAAAAAGAGGAAATTAGATGAACTAAAGCAATTTAAAAAAGGAGCACTTGATAAATTTCTTAGTAAAAAAAATATGGCAATTTCAAGTGAGAGTTTAATGATTAAAAAATTAACCCCTTTAACAGGTTTTGAAAATAGTGAAACAATTAATAAAGAAGATAATAATGAACATCAAGAACAAGTAGAATAAAATGATATTCTAGTGCGTCTTACTTTTGACATAGAACAAATTGTAGAAGAATTCCTAGCACTGAGGGACCTCCAAAAATAAAATCAGAAAAAACAATAGTAGGGAGAGAAGGGTCAAACGTTAGAATTGCGTGAAATTCGGTGGGTGATTTAGAATCAATGTGCTTTTCAATACTGCTAGCCTATGGCTAGGACCTATGCCGCTTTTCGGGCAAATTCCTTCGTTTGGCTTTCAAAAGCGTTTTTTTGCTATTTTTGGTAATAATGTGCTACTTAATTTTGAGAGCTGTAGTTGCCATTTGGAGTTTTCCTTTTACCAGATTGCTGCTCAAGTTTAGGGCTTTTGATTTATGCTTTCAATTAGAATTTATTTATTTTTAGAAATTTTAGTATTTTTTCCTATTTTTGTTATTTCTTTCCTAAAGTTATAGTTCTAGTCGAATTAGGTTTTGCAGCCTATATAAAGGCTATTTATTTTCATTGAAAGGTTAACTTTCATCTAATAAAGAATTTTCTTTCTGAGATCTTATTCTTTGAGCTCGTGGATTCGACTGTGTTACTTTTTTTTTTGTTCATGGATTTGAACGATTTTTCAAGAAGCAGGCAGTGCTCTACTTCTTCATAAACTTCCGCTACGTCAGTTGTTATCAGAGTAGGCTTAATCTTCTTCAGATGGTGAACGCATGGAACGAAAGCAAAGTCCTTGACGGTAATGACCGTGAGGAAGATATGGTTACAGGGGTTGAATTCAGAACTTTCTAGCGTCAGACCCAGTAGGCGCAACGTAAGACCCAGCAAGCGTTGCGGGAGGTCCAAGAGACTTTTGCTAGGCTGGCAGTAGGGAATAATCAGTTGGGTGACGGTCCTATGGGTCATCAACCTTACCAAGAGAGGGTTGAAGTTTTTTGTGAATTCCATCCAGAGATTCCACGTAGGCAGCTAGCCTATGAGGATAACATGAGTGAGGTTGAGGAAGATGCTGAAGCCATACTCCAGAATAATCGAAGGGTTACCAAGGGGAACAGAACTGACAGACATTCGTATAAAGATGGACCTGCCCAGGTTTAATGGTCAACTTCAGATTGAGGGGTTTCTTGACTGGTTGGTATTAGTCGAGAAGTTTTTCGATTATATAGATATTCCTGAAGATAAAAAGGTGAAATTAGTCACGTACAGACTAGTTTGGGGGGGGGGGGGGGGG